ACAAATGGATGGACTTTTTTGAAAATAAAGAAGAATTAAAAATATTTCAGAATTTTTGGTCAGAACCGGATGACATATGTATATCGTTAAATAAATATCAATAACGATAGTACTAGGAGCCTCCAAAAGTTCCTAATTGACATTCGTTTGATGAAACTTTAAAACTGTTGACTTTTTTTGTTTTGAATCTGCTCGAAATTTCAGATTATTTGTTAAATCCTTTTTCTCCTTTGAAACACTATATTCTTGCCGCGACAATTCAAATAATGAGTATTCTCATCTGATTACAAAAATTAACAATATAGGTAAATTTTACAGACTTTTTTTTAAATAAAATTATTAGTATCGATATATAATGTATCGGTATATCTCAAAAAACTTTATCGAAACTTTATGACACTTTTATTAATTATGATAATATTTCTTTATACAATATATGTAAATAAGAAAATAATTTATTAACCGACTGCTGAAAAGGTCGTACAACCTTATGTAGAAAGTTTTATTTTTTTTTATAGTAATAATGCATATCCGCAATGGGATTTTCTTATAACTTTTGTTTTATATTTTTGTGCTGCATTTGTTGATTTATCCATTTTTGATCTTTTCGAGTTGGATGGATCACTTCGCAAGTATCAGGTCTATGACTTTGGCCATGAGAATTGAGAATTGAGTAAGAAAGCCTTCTAGCAAGTCAAATTTATGTGTAAAAAAAATACTGAACTTGATCAAGATAACAATTGACAATGCCATCACTTGTTATTCACAAAATTAAATATTTCAAATCCTATTCAACATTTACCAAAGTAATCATTTTAATCTATATTATTATTGACATTTTTGTACTTTCTTTTAATGGCCTTTGAAAATTATTTGATTCAAGGAATTACTTTTTTACATCATCAATTTACGAAAATTAGATTATACCCGGATGGTCATAAAATGGTATTTTATGACAGATCTAGCATAATATTTAAATTCTTCTCAAAACTAATTTTCATCCATCTGTTTGCTTAATTCTCTTCTGTGTTGCGATTTCAATAAAGTTCTCTTTTAAATAAATCTTGCAAATATAGATTTAAGTGTTAAAACATTTAATCTAATCTCTGATCTATTTCTTGTATTTCTTTTGAACGTTTTAGTATTTAAAATCTTCATATTAAATGAAAAATTAAGTATTAAATTAAAAAAAAAAAAAAATAATTAAATAAAATATGGAAAAGTATTTAGCTTTTTGAAAATTGGGGGCGGCGTTCCTAAAAAAATGTTCGGCATAATCTTAAAGGGATCATTAACACGTGATAATCATCCAATCTATCAGCATGATGAAAATCACCATGGTGAGCTTTGTCAATTTGGTATTCTGATCCCCCAAATTAACTTTATTTCTAGAATTTACCATTTACAGCTTAGTGAGAAATATCAGTAGCGGGACCATTTCAAAAACGTAATCTTTTCATAATTTATTAAATATGAATGAATTCTTATGTAATTACAATGTGACGTGAATTCTTATAAATAATTTATTTACCCCATCTTTTTTTTGATCTCAATGATCTCCACGGGGTACTTGAACATTGAAAGAATATCAACTTTAAAAAAAAAAAGCAGGAGTTCACTTAATATATATTTAGAAAATTTTCTAATTATCAATTTCCAAATAAAGATCAAATCATTGATCAACATTCTTTCAGACTTTTTTTTTTTTAGTACATATTTATTTCTGTCGTTATATAAAAGAATAAAAATTTATTACATATCTTTTTTTAAAAAAAAATAAAATCCTTCCTATACAATATTTTTTTTTTTTGCGTGATAAACAGAAACATGCGTCTCATTATACGTTCTGATTATAACGAGGTATCAGATTACATAGGTAAGAAATAATAAAATATGATGTTTTTCTTGGATAACTCCACTTTTAAGATAAAAACCCTTCTTATTTATGTAGCAACTTATGTCAAAAATCGTATACTTGAATATAAACCAACTCGAGAACGTCCCTTTGTCCTTGGCTTGCCAACTGGTTCTTCACCAGTTGGTCTATATAAATGTTTGGTGAAGTTTTATAAGAACAAAGAGTTAAGCTTCAAAAATGTCGTTACCTTTAACATGGACGAATATGTTGGTTTACCTAGGTAAGAACAAGGATTTTCCAGAAAAAACTTTTTTTCTTCTGAATAATTTGTTTATAAACGTATCCATCTATCGTTAAAATACTTCAAGGGATCACCCGGAAAGTTATCATTCTTTCATGTGGCATAATCTATTCAAACATATCGACATTTCTCCGGATAACGTAAACATCCTTGATGGTAATGCCGAGAACCTTAGTGAAGAGTGTGTTAGATATGAAGAAAAGATAAAGTCTGTCGGTGGTATTGAATTGTTCATTGGAGGTACGATTTAATTTTCACGTGCGAGAACAATTTAATCCTTGTATAACAAGAACTTTTGTAACGTTAGGAATCGGACCCGATGGCCATATCGCTTTCAATGAACCGGGATCTTCTCTGACATCAAGAACCCGTGTTAAAACTTTGGCTTACGATACTATCTTGGCGAATTCAAGATTCTTTGATAATGATATTAACAAAGTACCAAGAATGGCTTTGACAGTCGGTGTGGGGTATGTTCATTATTAAAAATTAATTATATTTTTTTTTCCGCGTTAATATTCATTTGACGATTTAGAACCGTTATGGATGCTCGCGAAGTCGCGGTTATCATAACCGGAGCACATAAAGCTATTGCTCTTTCTAAATGTATCGAAGAAGGTAAACATTACATTACACAGATGAAAATAACGCGCATTTCAACGGTAAATAAAAATTGATCGAATTCCCAACGTACGTGAATTTAGGTGTAAATCACATGTGGACGGTTTCTGCCATACAACTTCATCCAAAAGCTTTGATTGTTTGCGACGAAGACGCAACGCTTGAATTGCATGTCAAGACCGTAAAATATTTCAAGAGTATTGAACATGTCATTAAAAATCTTATTGGAGATGAAAACGTCGGTTTACAAGGTAATCTTACAAAGTTAAAATAATCATAAATGATGATTATAATGATGACGATGAAAAAAATAATATTTTATTGTTCTTTAATTTATTTTCTTTTTTTATTTATCATTATTCAAATAACGAAACATTATAAATAAATTAAATTTCTTCGAGATAGAAAAAAAAAACGCTTAAATGATGAAGCTAATCCATTTGATTTTTTTGCTACCTAAAATAAATTATTGTCAAACATACGTTCAATGAATGCTAGGTAATGTCAAGAAATATCTCACTCCAGAAATTACCCCGGTAGTTACTCCGGAAGTTACTCCTGAAGTTACTCCAATCTGCGAAGCATTTTACAATTTACCTTTTAAAAGATAAATTTTTATCACATTATAAATTTGTATAGCTTGTAATTTTACCATTTTTACCAAAAAGGTAATTTTATTATGTAAAAAAAAAATAGAATTTTTTTTTCTTTTGTAAAATTTTAAACGAGTTAATTTTTTTTCCCTTGTTTGATATTGATAGAATTAAAATAAATATAAACATTTAATTTCTGTAACATTTTGTAACGAAACCTTTTTGTTTGCTATATTAATTTACGTAGTAGGTCAGTTATAAATTAGTACATATGTAATAATGAAAGATTGATGTTAATACATACACAACCATTTAAAGTTTTTTTTGTCTTTGGCGTAAATTGTTTAATTTATCTTCCTTGGAATGGATTAAAGATTTTCAGATTGATACCTATTACGGAAACAATGCTATTCCGTTTCCTAGCAGCGTACACATTTTTGCAATGTCCCAAAAGGATTTTTGCCCAATTGCCAGCCAAAAAAAAAAAAAAATAAATTAAAATAACTCATGTTCACTTAACAACAGTCGCTCGTGGTTTTTTTTTAATCAATGTTACTGTGACACATTAACAACAATAGAGAGATGATTTCATTATAACGATAATTACAAAACAAACAAAATCGATACAAAAGGCTAATCGTGTCACCTGCTCTGTGTAAAAATCATTTTATTGTACTAATGAGTCATTAAGACAATGTAAGAATTCTTTAATTAAAACGGAAGAAATTGTTCATTGAATGCGAAATCCCGGATCTTCTTTGCATCATAATACCAAGAATGGTCGCTGATTTTTATTTGTTCATGCGACCTCAAGTGCCTACCAGAAACGGTTTACAATTTCTAAATATGTAGATGAGGGTTAAGATACAGTGCCTTTATCGTACAAATATGGAGCTCTAATTTACATTTCCAGTAATTATGCTGAAACTTTTGGAGCGGAAACTTTTCAAACGAAAAAAAAAAGTCCCGCAGAAGGGGTGGGCGGGGCCTTCGACTTTTTTTAGTAATCCGGTTAAGACTTTCTCCTTGATAATTTTTTTGATTTTTTTGGAAGGATCCTTTCACAGAAAGGATTTCCATAAAGATTTTTCTTAAATACATACGAATTTGGAAGTTTTCAAAGAATTTCATCACAGAAAGGGAATTGGTGAACATTTAAGGTCTGTGTAATGCCTCCTTTTGATCGAATCCTGTTTTCAAGCTTTTCACCAAACTGCATCAAGACTAAATATCGTCACCTTTTTCCGGATATAACTTTGATACACATTGGTTCACTTTGAACTTACCTATAACCGAACGATTCCATTCCATCTTAACCTTTATCTAGAAAAATGAAAGAAGGTTCATGTTTTGTTTGTTTATTGTCCGATTTTAATAATAAAACGATGATTTAAAAAATAAAACTTCTTTTATTTAAATAATAGTGAGGTTATTTTCACTAAATTTGTATTATCCAGGTACAAGTATGAAATTTTCTCACCCCTCTCATTACATTATCATAAATATACAAATCCCCATCGTAACCACGATGTCTTATAAAAAGACTTGTACACCTGGAAAGAAACAAAAAAGGAAAATAACGACGAATTATTCTTTTAATATTCGGAAAGTTTTGATTGGACATTCAATAGAAAGCAAATTGGCAAGATGGTTAATCATTTCCAATTTCGTGCAAATAATTAAAGGACATCCTAAAAGAATTAAGTTAGACGAGTGACAAAGGGATTTTATAGAATCCTTTTATTGAAACGTTAAATAAATATGTAACTAAAATGAGGAAAGTAGTATAAACAAATCGACAAATCGGAGGTCAAACTCCGATTCATTTTTAATCAAATATAAATTTTTATATTTAAGGGGGGAAAAAAAACAAATTGTGAAAAGGATTAAATATAAATAAAAAATATATATTACGCAATTCTTCAAAAAACGAGAAAATAAGAAAATTTTTTTTTACGATTCAAAAAAAATTTTTTGGGGTCTCTTTATAATAATTCGCCGTATTCAAGGATAGTCAATTTGGAATTCGTTATAAAGATGCCACCCGAGGACAGAACGGAAGTTGAACAAATTTTTAGAAAAGACGATAAACATCATGCGGATATATCATCAAGCAACGACCATCTTGATATACATTCCGCATCCGCTTTCTTAAAATCATCCTTTGAATTTCGTACTCATTTGGTAGATTTAGATGCCACACCTAAAAGAACTTTGCCTCAAAAAATTCAAAATGTTCCTCTTATCTATCCTTCTATTACTTATCTGATTTATTTTGGTCGAGTAATAGAACATTTGTTCCTCACGATATTATTTGATTGGACTACTATTATCGCACATCCCATTAATTTCGTGTTGATGTTCGTGTTATTTCCCTTGGCTACTGTGATTTTATTCTTTCTTGAATGTATCTTACGATTCGTGTCTTTTGTATCTCAACCTTCGATTAATGAACCCTTGCTTAAAAATTGGTCTAAATTGATACCATCGATCCGTAAGTGTTAACGTTTGGACGAAATGATATTTAACTGCGTGAAAAAAGGACTAATCCAAGATAACCGCACTCTTTTCCTTTTCATGTAGGGGAAAATATTCAACGGGGAATAGAAGTTCTCGATGCTTCTCCTCTGTATCAATGTAAATATAAAAAAAATTTCGACCTAGACCAAGCACAGACATTGTTATTTCTCTTGAATATGTTGTCCGAAAGAGACGAGGCAAAGGTTAAAGAGGCTTTCGCTATGTTACGCGATATGCAAGGTGTTTTAAAAAAAGAACCTGATGATATAAACAATGAAAATGTAAAAAATATTTTCAAAGTTCTAATAGAAAGTGAAGCGAATATATGTAAACAATTAAAGGAATTTGATATTGAATTTACTTCACTTTCCGAATTGAATTCTATCGGAGGTCCATACGCTGGGATGTTTTGGTCTGAAAAAAGAAATTTCATCGTAGTCGCTTTCAAAGGTAACAAAAAAAAACAAGTTGTTAACCTTTATAAAGATATCGTAATATATTAATTCGACTAATCTCTCTTTTTTTAGGAACAAATCCCACGAATTTTAGTGACTGGTTGATAAACTTTACCTTTCAACGAACAGATGCAAGATCTTATTTGTTTGGAGAGATCCATGAAGGATTTTACAATTCCCTTTTCCCTATTGATGAATACGATTCAGCAAGACTTGATAGAAGATGCCCGGCAACAAGAATTATTGAAGCCGTTCATAAAAGAGCCAAAATAATTCGAGAACGAAACGCAAAGGACAATGATATGCCAATTGAAGATACTTCAAAAGTTTCGGTTTGGATTACCGGCCATTCTTTAGGAGGTGCCTTGGCAACTATCTTTTATTCAAGGTTATTAAAATCTCCTCAAAGCTTAAATGAACATTGTTTAATAAGGGATGGCATAACTTTCGCTAGCCCATCAATCGGAGATAGTGATTTCGCAGCAGAATTTTCATCATTATCTAATCGATCACCTAGCGAATATAAAACAATGTGGAGAATTGTTTGCGATAATGATATAGTACCACGCGTTCCTCCCGGACATCATTATCCAAGGTTACGGAGATTTACCAGTAAAGTTCATATCTTGAATTATTTTCATATTGGAGATGAAGCAAGATTTTATCAAGACGGTAGTAAACCTATGTCCATGCGTAACCTTTTCGATGATGATAAGGATTTCTATTTTATTGAAAAGGGTTTAGATTATAATTGGAAAAGTTTGTTTGGTTTTTATGACCCTTTCGACCATAAGCCTAGAAAAAAATCGGATGTGAATCCTAGATATGACATTCCTTTATATAATTATGAAAAATGGTTTCCTAGTTTCATCCTCAATCATATGTCTCATCGTTACCTCGTTGCTTTAGAAAAGTCGAGACCATTTTTCAAGAGTTTGGATGATATATCTTTTGTTGTCTAAGGATTAGTTAAAAAACGACATTTTCTATTATATTTATTTATCTCTGATTTATTTACTGATAAAAACAATTTTTTTTTTTTAGTCTAATATACTGTATTTCTATTTATAATTAATTATATATATAAAAATTTTATATAGAAAAATAATACCCCTTTTTATGTTTTATATAGCATTATTTATGTGTACAGTATCAATTATTAGAAAACACTGTCTATATTTTTCCTGATTGGATATGATACACCGAATTTTTAATAAAGAAATGATCATTTTTTATTGATTTTATTTATTTGAAGTCCTCGATCGATGATTGTCAAAACACTTGCACATCCGGATTAGGCTTAGAAATCTACCTAAGAAATCCTAATCCCAATATCCTATAGTAACGCTCACCCTCCTTCCCTGTAAATCCTTGTCCTTTATATACAAAATTACAAAAAAAAAAATTTGCATTTGTAATTTTATAGGATTACCATATATGGCTTTAATCAACGTTACATTGGGGTGTATATTACATTTATCAAAATTATGTATCGTCTACTAGTAAATTTTATTACTGAAGATTTATTAGTTACTCAAGATTATAAATAACATTCACTTAAGGTTCACTTACCTTTTTTTTTTGCAAGTGATATGCAGGCGAGAAAGGAGTTGATTAGCATAAGAAATTATTTTACAAACCCTGATACTAAACATATCTTCTAAGATTTCAACTAAAACTTTAAACAGTTCAGATCAATCCAAAAAAAATTTCTTATAGTTCAGTTTTTTTCAGTTCAGATTGTAAAAAAATCAATCCAAAACATTTTGGATCAGTTCAGATTTTTTCAGATTATAATTCAATCTGAACTGAAAAAATCTGAACTGAACAGATTCAATCTGAAAATTTCAGATTGATCTAAAGTTTTAATTAATAATAACCACCTTCAAATTTTAAGGCATCTTTTATTAGGAAAATAACCAATAAAATCGCATCCAAACTTTCAAAGGCAAATTTATTATCATTTTTTCTACAAAAGTTACTTCTGATTGTTTGGATGCAATAAAGTCATACCTGAACTGTCAGAAGCAGTTTTTATTATTATATCTGAACTTTTAGAGATGACTTTTATTAATATTTTCTAATCAAAGTCGCATCTAAAAGTTCAGATGTTGCTTTATAATTATATAATAAAGTTTGCCTAATAGTTTAAATGTGATTTTTTCTAATAAAGCCATACCTAAATGTCAGAGATAACTTTTTTATAGCTTCTGAACTTTCAAAGGTGAATTTATTATCATTTTTTCTATAAAAGTCACTTTTAATAGTTCAGATGTGACTTTTTTTAATAAAGCTGCATCTGAACTATCAGAAGCAACTTTTATTATCACGTCTAACATTTCAGAGAAACCTTTTTAATAATAAAAATCACCTAACAATTCAAATGTAATTATATTATCATTTTTAATAAATTCGTTTTAGATACTTCAGATGTAACTTTTTCAAATAAAGATGCATCTGAACTGTCAAAGACAGCTTTTATTATTACTTTTAATATTTCGAATGTGATATTTTCTAATAAAGTCATATTCAAACTATTAGAAACAATTTTTATTATCACAATTGAACTGTTAGAGGTGATATTTAATAGAAAAAATACTAATAAATTTTACATCTGAACTGTCAAAAAAATTTTTTATTAGTATTTAATAACTTGAAATTTCAGATTAATCTGAAAATTTTCAGTTTGAATTAGTTTATTTAAAAGTTTCAGATTAGTTCAGTTTGAATAGTTTGAATAGACATTTTTTTGGATTTATAATCTGAACTAAACTAAATTAAAAATTCCTGATCAAATTGATTGGTTTATAATCTGAATTGAACTAGGATTTTAGAGTTTTAGTTTTAACATCAAGGTATTTAAACTTTAATGAAATAAATATTTGACTTATAACTACTTTCAGACTATATTACCATATAAAGATTATTTCTAAAATAGATCCTGTATATCTTTTTAAAAGGCTTGTTATATAGGTACTTCAAATAGCCAGATTCTGCCAAATTTAAATAGAAAAATCATTTCAGGTCATATAAAAGTGTCACTACCTATATTTTATCTAACTAATATCACAGGATTCATGAAATAGTATCACAAAATGGTGAACTAATAAGATCACTATTGTATCCATTTTGTCAAATATCTTAGAAATTGAATCTAGCCTCTAATCCTAATAATAGCTCAATTAAACTGTATTAAAACATGCTATGTAGTTTATTATAAATATTGATCTAATTTACTAAATTCTGATAAATTACTTCATTTACTTATATAATAGGTTCTTATAGAGTGAAACATAAGATTAATTCATTACAGATCAATCAATAAAAGCTAAGTTTCTGTTGATTTAAAGTTTCATTTGCATTTACATGTTCTAATACTATGTAGTATTTAGGTATGATCAATATTAATTGATAGATCAATCAACAAGATTTATATGCATATTAATATATATATCTATCAATTCAGTCACAATAAAATTCATATGAAAATTATACAACTTTATGTCTCAGCTAAAACCTGAATCAATGGCTTATATAATAAAACTTTAATATATAAAAGACTCATAGTTTAATCACTGAACTAGGAGTATGACTTCTTATTCTTAAAATTCACTTACTTTAAATATGATACCTTAGTTATTTTTCTTAGTAGAAGAGTCTTAACTGCATTATTTATCACATATTTCTTTTGAGTTTTATAAGCAAATAATAAGGTCTATTCATATTTCTTACTACTTTTTTATCTTCAATTAATATTACTAAAACTTGTAAGCTTAGTAAAAATATGATTCAATTTATTAAATTTTACAGTTCCTGGCAAAAAGAATGACAGATACAATTTTAAACAGTATATAAAATCTTTATTATTTAAATACAATTTTTTTAATTAATTGCCGATACTAATGAAGCAATTTTTATTAATTAATTAATATTTTGTGTGACTTTCTTCTGCATCAATACATGTTTTAATCCAGTATGACATACTATTATACGTCTAAGTAACACATTATTATCAAGCTTATCTCATTCCTGCTAGATTGTGGTAAGAAATACATCGAATGATTTATAGTTATATTGCCAGTTTTATATAGTAAACTGATATATCAGTCATATGTGCTTAAGGAATGCATAATCATTGTGAAATTTCCTTCGCATTATGTATATTTTGTTTCCAGAATGTTAATACTGAGTTTCGTTTTATTTCAAAGGAGCTTAGCATAGTCATAAGGATGAAATCAAAATTAAAATAAAAATAAAACAAATTGTCTTATTCTTTTAAATTGGAGTTCTATTGTTTGATTTGGTCATATAAACTATAGCCTAAATCAAAAAACTAAACATGTTATAACCTAAATCAATACGGTATTACTATCGTTATTCTTTTCACCAGAGACTGTATGTATAATATGATACAACAGATTTACAAAATATTGGTCATCTTTTGAGAGAAAAATTTTCTAAAAGAAAGATTTATCAGAAGAATCTTTATAATATTATTCAAATCACAAAAAAAAAACTAGTAACAAGAGTCGAAATTGATATATCAGATCTTATAAAACATTTATATTCATAATAAACAATTTTATAGATCTGGTATTGTAAAATAAAGAAATCATTTTATTTATTCAATATATGCAATCAATTAGAAATATTAAAAAAAATATCAAAGTACTTCTAATAAATTATAAATTTATTATTATTTATAAATTGATGGATTTTAATATATTAATTAATAATTAATTTATTTAATTTTATCAAGGATTTGTGTTGCAAATAATTCAAAAATATCCTGTCAAATATGATAATTATGCATTTTTTTTTTTTTAAATTTGTCTTATTCAATTTTCAGTAATATATTATTAATCATCTAATTACTATCCTTATATTAATACTATTACTTGTATTTATTTACTTTCTTATATTTTATATTTATTTATAAAAAACAGACTTCAAATATTTTTGAATTTATTTTAGTAGCTGAATCTAAATATATTTTATTTTACATATTCCTAATCATTATATACTAAAAATATGGAATTTATGATAGTTAAAAAAAAAATGGTGATTTATAATTTTTAATTCAATTATTGACAAATTACAATTAGAATTAATGAATAAATAAATAATATTTTAAGATTACATAATAAAAAAGAATATTTTAATATTATATTAAGATTATAAAATAAAATATATAATTAAATGGTTAAATTTATATATATTTTTTTTAATTTTTGATTAATACTTTGGATATAATCTCTATTATAATTGTCTGAAATTCTTTTAGGACATTTATTCAGATAGAAGCTAGTAAACTATAAATTTTAAAGTTATATTATTGAATTAATGCTAAATTTAGTAGAGATTTTTCTTTTTTTTATTTCAATTTTAAGACCTTAAAGATATTTTAAAAATACTGTAATTATTATATATTGTATAATAAAAAATAAAATGTTGATCTGTCTATAATAAATACTTTGATTAGATACATTTTCAGGAAATTTAACAACAAATATGAAAGCTTGTCAATAGAAAAGATAAAAATCTAAAAAAAATTATTTTATGGGCTAATATTAAATCTGAACTTATTTTACTAAAAAAAAATCATATTTAGCATATAAAGTAAAATGTTAAATTTTTTTAGATTTCTTCACTTTCTATTGACAAACTCCTATATATTACTAACTAAAGGTATTAATAAAAATTGCTATTTGCATATATTATTACACTATTTTATAATGTTATTGATAAAGATGGATACCATAATTAAGAAGTTGCAACTTGGTTGTAACTCCTTGTAAATTTATTTCAATATAAAAATTCATAAATAGTTGCAACTCAAAGTGTTGCAACTTAAGTTGCAACTAGTTAAAAATTTTAAAAATAATTATGGGAACCATCTTTAGTTATTTTGATCAATATATTATTATTTAGTGATATTTATTTTAGATACTATATTGGCGAAAAAAACTGACAATTAGAAAATATGAAATATTATGCAATTTTAATATTTTAAGCTCTAAAATACATAAGTTTATCAAATTTAATATTCTATCATATTACATTCATTTTCTATCACTAATTTTATACATTTTAAAATAAATTTTACAAATAAAGGTACAAATATTTATTAATAATCTCTTATTCCTTTTTATTTCTTTTTTATATTACTCTGCATCCAATGATCACAGAAGAATGAAATATAGCTTGTTGGAATTGTCTTATTAAGACGAATTGAAAGGTAATAAATTCATATCTCCAAGTATAAAATTCATAGGATTACATGGTAAAACATAAATAAGTTAATGTGTCTCATTATTTTTTACTTCACTTGATATTTTACAATATTTCTTTATATCTAGTAATTATAGAAAAATAAATTATAGCTCATTAGAATCGTTTTATCAAGACAAATCCAATAACATTAAATTCATATTTTTAGATGCAAAACTCATGAATTTACGAGGTTATAAAAAAAATTCAGTTTTTCTGCTGGTACTGTATTTTAATTAGATCCATATATGTTAAAAATTGGTTTTCATTTATATTAGGTTCTATGCATCTATTAATGAAAATTCAAAAGAATTTAAATGAATAAGGGAAGGAAGGTTATTGCCGATTTATTTTAAGAAATTATTTTACGATTGATTGGTATCGAATCTAATAAACTTACTATTTGCATTGAGGAAACTTAACCGATAAGGAATCTTAACTAAATTAACAAATATAAACCGCCTGGTTTTTAGGTAGAAGTCAGTCATTCTTTTTATATTGAGAAGAATCAAAATCGTGGCGTAGAAATAACATTATTACTAACCGAAACTTCTGGGTAGAAAAGGAGACTTTGTAGAATGTAAATGTTCGGCTGGATAGAAATACGAGAGAGAGCAATAATAAAAAAATGGAAGGGAGTAAATGATAAAGATGATAAAGATATGTTTAATACCCTTTCCGATCAGAAAATAAATTTTATATGATACTATTGATACATTTCTTTTGGATTCTTTTATTTATTTCTGCTGATTTACAGTACTTTAAACGCTGCTTCTCAGTATGTATTTATTTTTCTGCGCACAACTCTTTATATAAGCATACCATCAAATATTCAGAATTTGATACGAAAGCTTGCAAAGCAAAAGTGAATATTTCTAACATTTACATTCTAAATTATAAGTTAAAATTTAAAATGTAAAGTTCGGCTTATGATAGGACTGAAAGTGAAGTTGAAGTTGTTTAATCGAAGTTTCTGCAATATTCCATTCCTGTGAAGTCTCTGCACAACAAACATCATTTGAAAAATTGGTTCACAATTGTATATATTATTTGAAATGAAACGGGATATAGTTTATTTTGTTTCTGTTACATTGTAATACCATTGAGAGAAATTTTGTGTTGAAATTGACTATATAAACTATTTCTATATATTATTAAAAAAATTTATCGAAGGGCTTTCAAAATTAATAAATAAATTTTCTAATATACTAAGCTTCTAAGTTTTAACCTGCGTATAAGCTTTCCATGAACCGGACTCATGAAATCTCAATTTTTTCTAGTATATTTCGCAATTATTTACATTTTAAAAAAAAAAAATAAAGACAAATACAGAATGTATTATACTTCGGTAAAAAATTTCCATCAACTCTTTAAGTAAACACAGTTCTTTATGACAACCCATTTTATCAATCAAATTTATTAAACTTTGCGAGAATTAATGTGATAATAATAATATCTTTCAAGTTCAGAATTTTGTAAATTAAATGAATAACTGATTAATCAACAAATATTCTTTTTTTTTTATCAAAAGTGTTTTTGTTAAGTTAATTCTCAAGGTTTTTAATTGTAATTATTTGTGTAAATATAAGAAATGGTTTTAATAAACTCTTTATATTAATTTCCGTAAAATAAGTCCTAATAATTAAAATATGACAAATAATAAATTTTTTAAAATCGAAATGTTTTAACATGATTCCTCATATTTATCTCTATAAATTTCATTCATAATAAAGTTTACAGCATCACAATCAGACCAATAACTCAAATGAACTGTAATAGCATTAATATAACTGACATCCAATAATCCTTCCTATAATATAAAAATTAACATTGAAATTTGAAATTGAAATGGATAACGAAATAAAATGTCAGGATAAAATTTAAGGTATATAATAAATACTATACCTGTAAAACCCAATCAATTCTTCCAGATGAATTTAAACTTTTAATTTTAGAAGCTCCGTGAGGATCATCTTCCTCTGATTTTTTTGATTCATCATTTGAAGAATAATTTGTTGGAGGATAATTTGTTAAAGCTGATCCACCTTCATCTCCAATTATTGAAACAGATTTTTTATGCGTTACATTAATACTGCTACTACTATTTTGTGGTAACATTGATTGAAATCCTTTTGTAAAAAAAGTCGATTTAACTGATGAAAGAATATTGGTGGCTTTGTTTGCAATTTCATTTCCGAGTTCTTGAATACCAATATGCATTCCTTTTAATCCCCCTTTATGGTATGGAATAAGAGCAGGTTTTAAATCTCTACCATAACCTCTAGAGATAAGTGGCTCTATGAAAATATTTTGAAGATGAATAAATAAGTATGCTGAAATGATTCTAATACTAATTTGTTCATTTACCTAATCTATAAGCAATCGGATCTAAATATAAATATAATAAAGTTAGCGAATAAATCTTTTCTTGAACAATCTAAATATTTATCTTATTTTACATACCTGCATTATGAAAAATGTTGTATAAATTTTTAACAGCCGGATAACATAATGGAATAGATGATGATTGGCCTAAAGGTAAATTCGTACCAATTCCCATTTCAAGAACTGCCCCTGCTAATGTTTGTTTTAAATTATCATTAGAACGATCTTTTCTTGAAGCTATATTAAGACCTTTCAATAACAAAAATAATCCTATTGGTGACCCAGCTGCAAAAAAATTTGTAACTTCAAAATCCAATTTTGCAATATGTTGATGAATATTATCTAATTCAGTTGAACCCCTTCCCTCAAAAATGCCAGATGGAGTTGAAGGAAAAAGCGGAGGTTGATGACATAATACATCAAATGCCAATACAGAACCTAGTGAATGTCCATATATTGAAATCTTCCCTCCATTTTCAACAAATTTAGGATTCCTTTCAATAAATAAATTATAAACTCTGTTTGCTTCTTTTGTTACTGTATTAATCATCAGTTCTCTATATTTGGGTGTCATGTATAATAAAACTAGATAAAAAAATAAAGGAAAGAGAAATGGCCATTTTAGTTAACCTTCGAGTAAATCTTTATCATTAAAGAATATGTAATCTTCATTTTACCATCCATTAAAACGTCTGAAATTAACATTCTTAATGTTGGTACACCCTCCAAAGTAATTTCGTCCAAAGTAGTTTGAATTTGACTTTCTTCAGCATTAGGCATGCCTAAATCTCTTTGAACGTTCTCGTCTTCAGACGCCATTCCAAACTTTATTTCTTGTCTCCATTGAATAGGCAAGACTTGTACACCATTTCCGAATTTATTTATGCTTTTCTCCGAATTACTAGAATTGCGGCGATCTGAATTAAATTCTGATTTACTTTTTGAGAAGTTCTTCTGTAAGATTTCAGATGTAGAGTATGTGGATTTAATAGTCTTCCTTAAAGTGTTGACGTCTATAGCAAATTATATTTTTTAGGAATTGAATAAGATATACTAGAAAAAACAGTATAATATAAATTTACATCATACCATGTACAAAGTTAATAGATTCCATTTTCTCGCTAAGCTTTTGACCGATCCTTAATAATTTAAATGATTACAATAATTATTTAATAAGATTTAAGCAAATTTCATATGTTTATATAGTACTTTTACTTACTTACCCATGAATTACCAAAATTAGATGATCAATAACTCTCTCATCATCTTCGTCATTATTATAATCTTCACTTTCAACAATTTCCTGTTTAACTTCTCTCGGAACACTGCTTGTAGAAGAAAGATTGTCCAATTCAGCTTTAAATTTCTTCTCATCATCATCAGGTGGTTTTTTTGATAATAATTTTCTAACTTCATTATAACCTCGGATGAGACGAGTTCCTCCCAAATGAACTCCATTAGTGAGTTTGGCAAAAAAAGTTTTTGTTAATTTTCCAGTCATATCATCGCTATTTTTATATAAAAAAGAAATTTTAACTTAAGTGACAAATAAATAAATAAATAAATGATGATCCTTACTTTAATAACCATGCAGTAGTTGGATTTGTATAGACAACATATTGAGAAAGATATTTTCCAAGTAATGGCCAACTTTTTTCTTGAACTTGTTCGGACCCATTATTAGTTTGTTCTGTTGGATCAATTTCAGGTCGTGGAATCCACGTTTGATGTTTCCTATAAAAAGGTGATTTAAATTAGTATTATTCAATAAAATAAAAAAATTACATACTTTACTTACTTGTATCCATCTTCGATTTGAGCAGCCAAATTTTCATCACAGGGAAGAATTTTTCCGTCGCTTAGATAAAACCAAGTTGCACGTACAACTTCATAAGTTGCACCTGGCCAAAATACAGGGCTAATCTCGCGATTGTCAATATCTACTTCGAATAGATAATCTTCATTACATGGAACCTTCTTTCCAGAAGTTCCAGCTTTGAAAGCAGCTTCTAGAGCGTTAGAATCACGTTTGGAAAAAGCTTTCCAACTAGTTGGTTGTTTAGAAGTATAAGGTTTGTTAGAATTTGATAATGATAAATTAGGAAGAGTGTTGGTCGAAGAGGAGGAGGAGGATGTAGTAGTAATCGATGATGATGACGTGCCGGTTTGAATATTTTTGTCTTTGTTTGGATCTCTCAAGGGTATATCAATGGCATGAAACCTAATTTGTTTAAATAAAATTTAGTATTTCAATGGAAAGTTCAAACAAAAAAAAGAATATGTAACGTAACACAATACCAATGAGCAATTAATTCAGGGCAATTTGGTGAAGGCATAGTTTTATTTCTAATTGAAAACAAACGAGATAAGGTATTTTATATAGTTTTTTTTTCATTTATTTTTGGGCATAAATTTCCGAATTGAATACAAATTTGGTAAACCATGGGGATTATCTTGTCATCATTACGTACATATATTACGTATTTGGTGAGAAATTGCTGCGGTAAATTTTGTTCACAAGGGTTAAAGATATTTCATATCACGTCATGTACAAAGCGATCAAAATGTTAGCAACGCTCGTGAGAATGTCAAATTCATATGTCAAAGAGACTACGGGTCGGCCCGGTACTATTAATTAGCCTAATTTCCATGGTAAAATGGAACAACTTCAAGGATTAGGATAAATTAACCTGATTCGTTAACTAGATAACTAGGCAATAAATATGTGGTTGGTAATGCTAGTAAACATTTTAAAAAAAAGACGACAATTAAACATAATTAATTTTTTAATAATTAGTTTACTCTAATCCGCATGAACATTTTTATAAAAATATAAAGTAATTGACGCTTGGTCAATAAATTGGTAAAGTTTTTGGACAAATAAAAAAAACTTGGCGTGAAAAATTCAAGATTTAAAATTCTTCGTATTGATGTGGTATAGTGGTTTTACGGAATTATTATTTTTTTTTATCGCGTTTCACGAGATCATTCTCAACTAGTTTTTAAGAATTTACAATTGTCGAAAAGCTCAATGATTCTGATTCATAACTTCACAAATAAATTTTTTAAAAAAAAATACGCTTATGATTTCGCATTTAAAATTTTCTACCTTAATTCATGTGCTCCAAAAAAAATATATATATAAAATTGCGACTAAAGAAAATTTGTCTTCTTACTTACCAAAGATGTTTTATTTTTCCGTAAGTTCCATATTCGCCTATTTTCTTTTCGAAAGAAAAACTACCGACGTGTTTGAATAAAGGAACAAAAAAAAAGTTCGATACCATGTAGGTTGTCCTGATTTATTATAGCAAATAAATGTAAAATATAATTATTATAACAATTATAAATTAAAAAATTGAAATCAATACTAATTAGATTTAGATTATTATAAAGAAAATTAAGCATTTTGAATGCTTTCTTTTTTAAGTGACACCCTTCTATCTGAAAATTGTTTTATAACTAGAAAACGTTCAACATCAACACCGGATACTGATAACCATATATAATTAATGCTAATGCACTAAATTCTGATAATAAATGTCAAAACCACAATAAATGACCCATTCTTGAGTCAAAGTATCAGTAGGATAATGAAACTCTTTAATAATTCCATAATCTGTCATATTAAAATTTGCTATATTAGATTGAATAAATCTTGGATCAAAGCATTGTATTGCTTTAAATAATGATTAAGTTTAATGGTAAGAGAGATGTTTTTCACTTTTTTCATAAGCAACTCAAAAGCCTGAGAAAATAATTATATTTCATTTGAAATCAGAGGAATTCTTTTTCTGATAAAATAAATGCTTAAAAACAAATTATTCTTGAATAATCAAATGGAGTTATTGCTTTATTTCAGATTTTAAAATTCTAAATCATTATCAATCTAATTAAAATTTTAAATGATTAGTAAAGTTATTAATTATTAAAAATTTTTCTTACTTATTACAATTTCAATTTATAATAAAACATATAAAAATTTTAACATATAAATATGTTTTTGATATTATAAAGACATCAGCACAGGTCAAATGATGTTATACTAGTGAAAGATCATAAACCTGATTTTTCACTAATTGTATTACTACAATCAGGATTGGAAATTTTGTATGTATTAGATAAAATTACTACTGTACTTGTACTAATTTTTATATTAATTATTATAATGTACTTACTGTACTAACTGTACTTAGGGTTCCTCAAAATCGAATCAAATCAAATATTTAAGCAATTTGAATTT